ATTACCACTGAACCACACCTCTAGTTCTAACCCTTTTTGCGCTGATTATTTTTAAATAGGGTGTCACATTTTGTCTGGATCTGCTCCTGAATGATCTGCTTGTTTTAGGTTTCCTGTCACAGGTTGGGTGACAGGTGCATGCCACTGTATCCAAGTTCTTCCAGTGTGATGGCCTCTTGCAGATTTTTCTGCCCAGGCTGGCCTGGGATGGCCATCTTCAATTTCAGCCTCTCCTGTAGCTGCAGTGATAGGCTTTCTGGGATGATATGTCTAACTTCTGGCCTGAAGTCAAGGTGTCACCAGGGCTCTGGTTCCCTGAGAGCTTTCAGGGACATCCTTCCTTATCTCTTGCTGTTTCCTGACCATTTCCTAACATCATTAGTGTTCCCGGATCACAAACATCACCGCCATCCTTCTCTGTGGGCCTGTGACCAAATTCACCTCTTCCAAAACAGCAGTCCCTGGAGCACAGTCTGCCACTCCAACCTCACCTCATTTTAACTTGATTACATCTGCCAATAGAATTCTGAATAGAGTTCTATTTCTATATGAGGTTACTGTCACAGGGTTCAAGACCTCAACTTATTTTTTTGTTTTGGAAAAGTCACTATTCAACCCTTAACAGGTTGGGAAGTCCGGGGATGATGGGAGGAAAACGATGGAACACCAGGAACTCCTTCTCTGACCTGGAAGGGCAGGAAGAGCTCAGGATAAAGAGATCAAGGTTTTTGGGGGGTTGAGATGGGAGAAGAGGGATCCTATTTCCTCCAGCAGCTTGTATCTGTGTTTTATTAACCTCCAAGAACTTTACAAAGAGACCCTAGGATTCGTCAGAGAGCCGGACTGTCTGTCTTCGCTGGGTCCCCCAGCCCACCAGCCTTGTATCTGGCAGAACTTCCCTGCAGGCCACCCCCCCCCATCCCCCATGCAGCATCCTGTTGTCTGCTGCTCTCCAGATTCTTGGTTGCCTGCCACCTAATTTCTTTTCGTCCTGGACTAATTTCTTGCAGTCCTCAGGCTAGAGGGGAAACCATGAATTCCCCCAAGTCTTTCCATATGGACGGTTCAAGCCCTCCCTCCGCAGAGCATCTACACTTCCTCTGCTTTATAACTTGAATCAGGACAGCGTTATCATAAGCCTTCGGGAGTAGGAAGACTGTCCAGATGTTTTGATGTCCTCCCTTTGGCTAGTTCGCTATTTTCCTGAGCCCCTTTTCCCCCCCAGATTTAGTGCCAGAGGATCTATTTCCACAGTGGAGATGGAGAAGGGTTTCAGAGAGCATGGAGACAGTTTAGAGCCCCGCCAGAAACAGCTCCAGTGGTGCACAAGGATGTCAGAACACCTAGAGCCTTCCCAGGCTTGGCTGAGAACCAGATCTGGAGGTGACAGGCCCACGTGTGACCAGTGTGACCAGAATTCAGCATGCTTATCATCATGTTATCTTGGACCTTGGGGAGGGGGGAGGTAGGAGGGGAAAGGCATTAGTATAAAAGATTAGTGGCGCAGCTGAGAATAATAAGGTTTCTGCTCATTAACAGAGGTCCCAGCCAAAACCCCTCCAAGCTCTGTTCTTGCTCCTGCAGGCCTTTGCATAGTTGAGGGAATTATGACACTGCTGCGATGGTGAAGAGTCACTCAGCTTTTGGCCCTCTGCCCCTTGATGGTGCCTGAAGCCCTCCATGATCCCCAGCAATGCATCACCTGTCCTGTCCCTGCCATTCAATTATCCACTGTCCTTGATTTCCTCCCAAGTGCCCACAGCCACCTCTGGGAAACACCTGGGCTGCCAGGAATTCGACTAATAGAGCTCATATTCATTTTAAGACTGACACAACAAGAAACCCCAACCACAGCCTCCAGCCAGGGTGTGTCAACTTGTGTGGGATTGAAGAAGATCTTGCCCAGGCATGAAAGGCAGAGGACATGATCCCTGTGGGATGAGGGAGATAGAAAGAAGCAGCAAGGGGCTTAGAAAGATGGCTCAGCCTCAGCTCAGGCCTCCACCTCACCCTACTCTGGACTCTAACCATAGCATTGATTGCAGATTTTGCTGGTTCTTCTCCATGTCAGTCAGAACAACTTGGATGGTAAGTGACAGACCCAACTCAGAACAGTGAATCATGGCAAAAAGAAGAATGTCCTAGCTCAGGAGATCAAGATAGCTCTTCATAGGCTCAGGAGGATTCAGGGACTTAACACACATGGACAGGGCTTTGGTCTTTCTTTGTCTCTGGTCCCGACTGGCACTCATATAGCAAGAACATGGTCTCCATCCATCTTACTTCACCTCCTCTCTCCTAGAGCTCACAGAGGTCTGATGGGCCCATTCCACACCTGCCTCAATCCTTAGACGACTTCCTGCCCAGAAAAAAAGTGGGTCTTGGAATCTTGGAGAGGATCTTATTGTCAATTCTGCTGCCAAAAATATAAAAGAATATTGAGCAAATAAACCGATATGGGCTGCTATACCATTTCTTCTCCCGAGGATAAACTTCAGATCTCTGCTCTTGATAAACCGCTACTTTTCTTTCAAACCTTCCACGTACACACTCCCAGAACTGCACCAGACAGAGCTGAATATACTCTTTGATTCATTTTAGTGTTTTACTCATTTAGTTGTGCATTTATTACATGGCACCCAACGAACTCTTCCGAGGCTATAATTGGGGACAGTATAGATCATGTCCCAATAATCTCAGGATCATCAGCCTCCCCTTGGACAATTTTTAGGGTTAGACAAAAGTTGGGGGCCACTGTAAGGAAATAATTTGGGTCCCGGATGTTAGCACCAAATGTAAGGAACTATTTCAAGTCCCAGATTTCGGTGCCAAGTGTAAAGAAGTATTTTCAAGTCCCAGAGTATGAGTAAAGATCAGAAAGACAAACTCACAGGCCAACAGGTTTATTGGACTCAAAACCCAAGAAGGGTAACAGAGCTTTCTTCAGCCTAGCTGAAGAAGAAATGTCATGATTCCCTTATAACCTGAGACTCAAAATATTCCCTTAAAGCCACATGCTTGGATGTGAGGTCGACATGAAGGACTCGACCATCCCCTGATTAGAGAAGAGTGCCCAGAGTGATGGATTTTCAGGGAGACACTGCACACCACCTGTTACCTGACTTGAGTCACCAATTTCTTTGTATTCTTTGCAAATATCTCCAACTGCAGCTTTTCAGAAAGGACCCTGTGCATCATAGGTAGCAATGAATGGAAACAACCAAACAAATCTCAACAAGCACAGGTTAGGTCAGCACGGGTATGTCACATATGGCAATTACGTTCCCTTTACTTGAATACGGGAAGCACAAGAAGTCACGGGAGCCAACTAGAATTCCCTGGAGTTAAAAAACTCTTGGTGGTAAAAACATTCCTCCATAAAAGCTAAATGTGTGTTCCTGCAAAGCAGCCCAGTAGTGACTGGTGTGTGGTGGTATTTGCTGTTTATGCTGACCGTGAGACCAACTTTCTTCTCTAGGAGCACGGGGGAGAATTCCTCCCCTCCCTGATGACCCCTGCCCTTAGTGTTTCCTCATTTATTTATTTCTGTGCCCACACATCCATTCATGCAATCATTCTCATTGATAAGACAGGCAGAGTTCCTCTTCTGATTGTACTGCTATCTGTTTTTGGTGTTATTTTCTCTTTTGCCCATACTGGGACTTAAACTGAGGATCTGGGTGTTGTCCCTGAGTTTGCACACTTAAGGTTGGTGTTCTGCTACTTTAGCCGTAACTCTACTTCTGGCTTTTTGGTGGTTAATCAGAGATGAGAATTTCAAAGACTTTCCTGCCCGGGGTTTGCCTCAAACCATGATCCTCAGTTCTCAGATCTCCCACATCTGCTGTTGTCTGCTAGTCTACCCAGAGTTGTGTGACCGTGATTAGCGTATTGTGAATCAGACATGAGAAGAAGACGCCGCCGTCCAAGTGGCCCTCTTGAGATGAATCAAGATAGCCAAGGAGCCCTGTATCATCTCCTGTGGCAGTGACGGGAGGAAAGGTTCATGCACATCACCCATGCCCTTCAGTACAGAATCAGCACACACCTGAGCTATGGTGCCAGGTGCTGGCAGGTATAGTGAGGACCAAGATCAGAAGGATTCGGGAAATATCTGCAGGGCAGCACATTTGTTCCTTCTCTACAGGGGACAAGTCCTTTCCCTTTGAGAGTTATTTTAACTTGCGTCAGAATGATTTTAAAGAGACATGCTGCGTTTGAAGTGGAAGATCTGACTCACAATGAGTCAAATGGGCCGATGGTGCCACGTTGAGTGTAAGCCTCTTTCCTCCAGTGAGACAGATTGTGTCGTGCAACTTACAAGCAAGGAACCCAGAAATAGCTTGCCCCTTGACTGTGGGCAAAACAGTGTGTACATCCATCAGGAGCCAGAGATGGAGTAAAAAGCCTATGGTGGACTTGGAGCCAGATAGCTGAGTTCAAAAGGGGACTCTCTTGCTCTCCAGCTTTGGGCTTTTGGCAAGTTTGTAGGCAAGGCGTTGGGAAAGACAAATGCAGTCTTCCCAACTATAGAATGGGGAAATAACCCAGACCATCCCCAGTTCTGTTTGTATAGCCTTTTGTCATGACCCTTCAGAGGGATGCATTAGAAAGCCTGGCCTGAACTCTGGCCATCCCTTAAACACTCGTGCTGCCTTCCTGAGGCTATTCCTTGGACAGAATGAGACAGGTTTTCTTTGACATCTCTGGGGAGCAATCCTGGTTACATGCAGATGGCTGAGAGCCATGAGGCTGTGCAGACTTGGCCTGCTGCATTACCTTTGTGAGCAAAAGATGCAGTCTTTTCTGAGCCTAGGGGTACACATCTGTGAAATGGGGGTCTGCTGGCAACAATACCTTCTCCTTGGCCTCTGCTGGGACACCCGCCCCCCCCCCCCTGCCAAGGCAGTAACCGCACCCTATTTGTGTTACACCCAGCCAGCCATGGGCTCCCGGCCAAACACCACACAGTGACATTGCTCTGACCCCTCTCTCCGCAGATCCTTCAAGCCCGACTTCGTTCTGGTCCGTCAGCACGCCTACAGCATGGCACTGGGCGAGGATTACCGAAGCCTGGTGATCGGCCTGCAGTATGGAGGGCTGCCTGCGGTCAACTCCCTCTACTCCGTCTACAACTTCTGCAGCAAGCCTTGGGTGGTAGGTCACAAGCCAGGCCCAGATGGAGGAGGGGACCAAGAGATACTGGGCGTCCTAGCCATGAATTGGGATCCTTCCCTGGCACAGGGGCCTCCTCCTCTGTAGGAGTTATATAGTGATACAGTATCATGCTATAATATTAGTCATGAAGAGGCATCCACTGTTCTAAACATGCCATCGTGGGATTGTCACCATGGTTCAACAGCATCATTTATTAAGCGTTTACTACATACCAGAAGTACATGCTCCCTGTGCCCAAACAATCATGGATGTGTGAGTGAGGTGGGCATCATTCCTCCTCTTAAAAGAGAAGGACGCTCAATTTGGGGGGGTGACTAAGGAACTCACCAGGGTCACATGCCAGTGAGTGGTAAAACCAAATCTTGAAGCCGCCACACCTCAAAGCAATCTCTCTCCAAACCCCAAGGCTTCATTCTTGCTTGTATCGATTTGTTTCATTCATTCCTTGGATTTGAGTTTTCTCCATGTGTTACAGGAGAGGCGTGACCTAACATACCAGCCCTCCACTTCCACGTCTGCCCTCAAATCTTCTACTCTGCTTTGTATGTTTTCCCAAAATGTTTGCCTAGAATATGCATTATCTGCCTCCCTTGCTAGAAGTAATTCAGTGGTGCAACAAGTCAACAAGTGTGTGTGTGTGTGTGTGTGTGTGTGAGAGAGAGAGAGAGGTGTATATATGCATATATGTGTGTGCATGCCCACATGCATGTGCATACATGTGCATGCACGTGCACACATACAAACACATACACACACGCACTATTTTGCTGCCTCTCTGTATAGGGCACTGGTTGGGAGCCTGGGCTCCAACGGCAGACTGCCTAGGTTCTAGTTGTATACCATGGAGCAAGTGACTTGATCTCAGGGAACTTAGCTTTTTTGTTTAGAAAAGGATGGTAATAACGGGGTCTACCTGGTAGTCTTTTGAATGAATGCATATTAAATGCTTCTAATTGTGGCTGGCACAGGGCATATCCTGAATAAATAGTGGCATCATCATCATCATCATCATCTCCTATACCTGGAATCTTCTACACTGAATTGGCACTTGATGCCTATTGGGTGAGCCCATGCATTCATTTAACAGAAACACTGTTGTCATTGCCTGGACCTCCTTCTTGTGTTCTGACTGAGCTCTGACTCACCACATCTAGGATCAAAGTGGCCACTAACAAGCAAGAGTCCCCAGACACATGAGGGGAGCAACTTCAGCTCACTGAGCTCACTGTGCACTGCACTTCGTCTCCACACAACTCATAGATTGTGCTTAATTGTCAGAACCAAACTGATGAGCAGATACTGCTAATCACTCAGCACAGATGAAAACACAGAAGCCTGCAGAGCTGGTCGTGAGTGACAGAACTAGGCCTTTCCCAAGCCCAAGTGCTTCATTATGCAGTTGCTTTCCCTTTGTGGCGTTCCGCTTCCTTTTCTGGAAGATGAGGGGAACCCTTTAATAACATTTCCAAGGAACACCAAACCCACCAGGTTGACTCTTTGTGCTGATCTGCAGGTTAGACCCCAAGAGTCTAGCTAGTTCCTGAGTTGCCTACTTCCCTCTGCAAGTTCTTAGTACTGAGTTATTCCCAAGTCAGTCTTCCAGGAGACATAGCTCTCCTTTCTAACACTGGTATCTACCTTTGGCCACAAATTGTAGCTTTTCCTTCCGTTGTTCAGAGTCTAAGTTGCCTATTCCTGCTTGTATCTACCTACAGCTCTCCTTTGCCTTCTGGGTGAATTCTCAGCTCCTTGGCCCCACCTTGTAAGTCTCCTGGTGGATGATTCTCTCTCCACCTCTCTCGACCAGCTTCTGCACCTGAGGCCTCAGTCATGAGAGTCACTCAGGGTCTCCAGCAACACGGCTCTCATAGCACGCCCAGAATATCCTTCCCTCTCCTGTAATCAGCTCCAGGGGCCTCCCTGATTGCTCGCCCTGTTCCCTTCCAGATGCTAAAACCCCCACACTGTCCTTCAGCAAATGGTTATAAGCTCAACATCATACTGTACAACCTGTCTTCTATCTGTCAGGCAAAACTTGTTGCCTCAATAATCAGGCACAGAATGAGGCACACTGGAGGCGCAACCCACCCTCCACAATGCTGGGTGGTAGGTCCGGAGCTCACTCTCTCACTTTGGCCACAGAAGCAAAGCTGTGGCCCCCAAAGGTAGTGCAGAAACAATGGGCACCTTGTGGGAAGAGGCCTGGCCTGGGCTGCTAGAAACACATGGATTTGTAAAGGCAAAGAACATCTATCAATAATAACAACATCCCAGTGCTACCTGTGCAGCAGGTAGTGACGTTCGAACTTCGTACTTCATACTTGCTGGGTAGATGTTCTACCACTTGAGCAACACCTTGAGATTGATTCTTACTTTTTGCCCAGGGCTGGCTGGAACTGCAATCCTCTTATTTCTGCTTTCCACCATAGCTGAGATTACAGTACTCACCACCACACCCAGCTATTGGTGGAATTGGAGTCATACAGTGTTCAGGCTGGCCCCAGTGATCCTCCCAATCTCTACCTCCCAAGTAGCTAGGATTACAGGTGTGGGACACCATACCCAGACGTCAGGAATTTGCTTTAACAGATGTTGAATCAGCTATATTCTTAAAACAACACAATAAGGGAGGATCTTTTGATATCTCCGGTTTATGAATGAGGAAACTGAAGCCCAGAAAGTTTTAGTAACTCTCAAGTTACATAGTAAGTGGCAGAGCGAGACACAGTGTACCTATCAACTGCCTTATAATGTTATCCCTCAGGAAAGGCAGGTGTTGTGGGGGAGGGGCAGGGACTGGGGGGCAGGATGGTATAAACATCAGTGGCTGTTCTGTGGGCCAGGAGCTTGTGTGAAATGCTGAAGATATATAGCAAATGTTGATGAAATACAGTTGAGCTGACCTCAAGAGTTTTGCCTACATCTTAGGCCTTGGGCAGGCATAGAGGGGTTGCTGCTGCTAGATGATGGATAGGGTGGAGACCTAGTGAAGGAGGTTGGCATCTATCTGAGCAACAGGAAACGGGTGCTGGAGCATAGAACATTTGGATGCTCAAATGTTGCTACCTGCAACCTGGGACAGAAAGACAGGATACCAGAGCGGAAGAAATGAGAAAAGACAAAGAGACAGACAGACAGACAGACAGACAGATAGACAGAGACAGAGGCAGAGAGAAACAGAGAGAGAGAGAGAGAGAGAGAGAGTAAAGAAAGTGGGAATTCAATGAAGATTCAAAGGGGATTCACTGCTCACTGGCTTCTGAACCCCGAGTTCCTGTTAGCAAGCTTATATGAGATCTAGTTTATGCACATAGTGATAATTGACTCCCGTATTGGTAGAGAGCAGAGGGAAGTGGTAAACATTTAACAATAATACATTCATTTATTTGTAGGATCCAAACCACTCTAACTTAAACCATTACAGTAACTTACACATTTGTTTTGCCTTGTCTGTTTGTCCTTTTGGGTCCAGTTCTCAGCCTTCTGAGTGGTGACCAGGCAGCATTCCAACCTCTTACCCCTTTCCCAGTCTCACAGCTCAGCCTCAGGGTTCCCTACACTCAAAGTCTAGGATCAAGTGGGTAATTTCACCATCGTATGCGATCATGGCTGACTAATATTTCTTGGCTTCTCTCCAGTTCTCTCAACTCATCAAGATCTTCCATTCCCTGGGTCCTGAGAAGTTCCCACTCGTAGAACAGACATTTTTCCCCAACCACAAGCCAATGGTGAGTGGCCTTTTCTTCATGCTTATTTTCATGCTGTGGAATGAACACAGGTATCCGTGTCCTGAGTCTCTGGCCAGAGCAAGTGGGTTCCAGGGTCACTCTCGGAACACATGGACTCTAAGGTAGAGTCTTCAAATCTGGTGGTAATAACTGGCTTTCTGAGGGGAAGAGTTCATCTCCAGGGGGAATTCAGGCAGCAGGTCAAATGGCAAAGGTAGATGGCATTCTGTGAGACTTTGGGAACTGACAACAAATCAGGGGACAATTTGAGCTGCCATGTTGAAACTCTAGGTTGATGATCAAGGAAAAAGATGTTTCCATATTGTTTTACTTGGGTCTCATCTGGGTCTTGGTTTTAATTCATATTTAATAATAAAAAAAACCCAGTAACATTGTATTTGCACTGATTGTTGGATGGCTATTTCCTTATGTGTTCTTTTTACTTGCCAGCTTGTGACTATGCCCGAGATTGCCCCTGAAAGGCGTCTGGAAAGCTGAGCTCAGAGTATGTGATCTTTGCCTTCTGTTTGGAAAGGGCTTGGGCCGAGCAGGTCCATACAGTGTTGAGGGATAGAGAGTTCTCTGGAGATAGCCAGAAGTTGGGTAGAAGAGTTAGGAGCAGTTGGCAGCCGCTTACAGTCATGATTGATAGACCTCTTGAACTCATTAGAGGAATCAAAAGGCTATGGTCCTAGACTTGGCATTGCAGGAGATATACATCTTGGGGGAACAACATAATGAATATGGTATCTGAGACTCCTGCTGGGGTCTGTAGCCTGAATTTTAAATCACAGGCTCAGGCTGCTGAGCTAGACAGCCCTGTTTGGAAACTCAGCCAGTACAACTGTAGGCTCCAGATGGGAGCTACCTTGCCAGGTGGAAGTTCCCACTGATCACCTTTCTCCTGTATCTGATCAAGGTAGAGCCACAAAACCTGAGTTATTGCTGGTTTGGCACCAGACAGGCACACATGAAACCCAGCACCTTCCACTAAAATGTGAATAAAATGGAGAAAACTTGAGATGATTATCTCCATCCAGCCTGAGTTAGAGACCCAGCTCTGTCTCTACTTTCTAGGTCTCAAACAATGTCTTCACTCCAGGAGTCACGCTCTCCTCAAGGTTGTTGAGATTTCATGTGGTCAGGTGTCTGGCATAGGATGGGTACTCAGATACTCAACGCAAATGACCTTCCAAACAGGAGCACAACACATAATCTGGAACATCGTCACTAAAGGACTGGGGTGGGAGGGCTGACATTTGCTATGAGTGATCTGCAGTGGAGGCAGCCCACTGGGTGAACACCTGGCTGTATGTGCTGGGGTGGGGGGGAGGCTCATCAGTTGTCATGACAACACAAGGAGTTCTTGGCATTCCCAACCAGGCTGAGCTACCCTGGGAATTTAAGGCTGGCCATTGCCACCAAATACCACTGCATACAGGCCTCCCTTCCCCCTCTACCAGGGTGCAAGTCTCAGGAAGAACACAAGAAAGTCTGATTCCGACCCTAGGAAATCAGATAAGAGATCCAGATGTGTCAGGACCAGGGAAAATTCTGGTAATAAAATCAGGGAATAAAGTTGGGGCTGCATCAGCATCCATGAAGAAATCATAGACACTGCTCCTGAAATTCTTCCCCCCAAAGTAGCGGGCGTATGCTGTAGCTATGAGTGGAGGAGAGAGTATGCATGGGTCTAGAACACAGAATGCAGGGCCTAGAACGCAAGCAGGACAGTCTTCCAAGGCCCCCTGGTGTCCACCGAACCCGCACAGGCAGTCAACAAGGCACGAGGCAAGAGGTGTTGTGTGATAGAAATAAAACCACTTTACTGCTTAGAATAAAGGACACACTATAAAAAGTGAACATTATGCAACATTACAAGACAATATACATTCACGGAATATAAAATTCATAAATAACATGGAGGAAAACTGTAAACAGTGCTACAAAATTTAGCAACAAATACATTCCTTCCAGACAGGGTTTTCTCTGGTTGGTTTCTCTCCATCACTTCCGGGTTTCCACACAGCAGACTGGGTAAAGGGAAAGGTGGAGCATGGGAGAATCTAAGAAGCCCCCTGCCTCAGAGCAAAAGCATCGCTAAGTTCCTTCCCTCTTCTAACCCCCAAAGATCCAACAGGGGGGCTGTTGAGAGCCATTTCCCCTACCATGTCCCATTTTGTTGTGCTTTTGCCATTAGATTATTTTTTTGAATAGTGTTTCTCTCAAATACCAATAACCTAGAGATTTTTAAAAAAAAACTTTAGGCAGCCAGGAGCCAAACACTTGGGTGCCATCTTGGGTGGGGGGGGGGGGGGATAATCTACATCGTTATCATGCCCAACATGAAAAGGCTGGTGCAGGAAAGGGATAAGCATTCTCTCCTGGGGAGGCCACAGTATCTCCTAGACAGAGCTATTTCAAAAAAGTCACGTGTTTCCTTTGTGGTTAAAGAATGATTGACAGGGGAAATGGAGATATCCTGGGCTGTCATTCATTCAGTCATCATAAGGCAAGGCAGAGATTGCTTGAGAGGGGTAAAGATCAGGGGAGTTCCCATAGCAGAGCGCTGGTCTGGGAGAGAAGAGCCTGGACATAGAGTTCCCTTGATGGGAAAGCAGAACTGATGCCCAGAGAACGCAGAAAAGAACTTGAAATCAAAGAGTTTCCAAGGGCCTGGACTCTGGGGCAAAAATATGGCTTCTCAAATGAGTGGGTTAAAGGACTTGGAGAGGGAGAGGGGACAAGGGTTGATGGTGGAGGATGGCCCAGGACTATACGTGATACAAAGCAAGGACATGAGTATGTTCTTTATTTTCCCCCTCTCTCCTTTCTACTCAGGGAACCCATGGGATTCAGATAGGAAGGAGGCTTCTTTGTGAGTTCTAACTCCCCAATTTGCCAGCCTAGCTGCCTGCCCGCATAGAAGTACTTTACTGTCTATTCCACTGTAGAATTTGATTCAGGAAAATGGTGGCATGTGGGTTTCTTTTTCTTTCTTACTTTTTCAGACACACTGTACACATATTACAGCCTACACATGACATAAGATTTAGCAAAATAAAACATTCACGATAGGGTTGAAATACAGAGGTGTCTCGGCTACAGAAATGACTTTACATTATACAGTAAATGAACAGAGGAAATAAACAACGCTATAGCTTATAGAAAGCTCCAAACCACCCTCTGACCATAGCAATTTGCAAAAGACCTTTTGTAGCCCGGGACATCCTCTCAGGGCCTTGCTGGTGGGGCTATGGTTCTGCCAGTTGATTTACGCTGCAGAGAAACTTCAGGGGTCTCGTGTTCAGGCCTTACCCTGAGTCCCCCTTCGTGGGAGTGGGGGTGACCACACCAGGGACCAAGAAGGGCCAATTGCCTGGCTGAAGACACTCTGGGGGCACTGGCAGAAGGCGTTCATGTAGGTTGGACTAGGAGCTTGAGCTCCACCTTGCAAAACTTTTGGGATTGAAATCGTGATCGTCCTAAACACCAAGTCTGAGGAACACCAAATATCTTAGAAGCATTGGCTTGCTGGCCTCAACTCCTCCGCTTCTACAGCTTCATGGAGAAGGCCACACCTCCCATCCTCCTTTGCCAAACGGCGGGAGCACAGGAGACAGTTGCACAGTAGTGAAGTCGATCGCAAGGAAACCCAACCCCTACACTGTCTTCCTGCTGTGGGGTCCTGCCAAACCTCTTGCCTGGACATTGTGTGTGAGAGACATACTACATCTTGTTGTCTGCCTTTTCTTCTCCCCTACTCTTGTTTCAGTTGGTAGCTCTGTTTCCTAAAGTGGAATGAATTGAAGATACAAATACTAATAGAGGATAAATACCCATAATCTGAAGGAAAAAAAAAACAAAAACAAAAAAGAGACAGTCATCACCTTCAATGTCGCCATCCTGTCACCCCCCACAACTCTGTAAAATACACGTGATCCCCTACTCTCCACAGCTCACATTTGACACTAAAACTTAAAATAATTTTATTTAATAGGAGAATTTATATTATAGTTTTATTTCCAAAAAAATACAACAAAAACCCTACAGCTGATGGCACAGCCAGGCTTCCCCAGGGACCTCCCATAGTAATTCCATGAACTGAGGACCCCAGGAGGTGGCAGTTACCCACCAATGAACTGGAGGAGGACAGCAGACTGTCCCCAAGCCCAGGAGAGGTGGCCATCGAGCCAAGGCAGGACACTTGGCTGTCCGTCTTTGTGTGAAGACCTCTGACCACCTGCCACCTGCCAGACAGTAAGGCAGTGAAGTGAAGACCCTCCCCCAAACAGGAAGCAAGAGGAAAAGAAAAGGCTAGAGGTCAGATGACCCCAGTTATAGGGAAAAAGAGGGTGTTCAGAATTTCAAATTTTAATTAAAATGAAAAAAAAAGTCAACTTGGAATGTCATGATTTTCTTCAAACAAGCAACAACAGCAAAAGAGAAGCAATTAAACTATTGGCATATTTAACAGTATTGAATAGAATTCTGTGTCCTGTAAAAAAAAAAAATTAGCTTATATCCTCGTGTGGGTATATGCAAATGTGTATACAAACACATTCCCCCTAGATGAGCTAAATGCTACCTTGGGAAAAAAAAAAAAGTATTTGCTACCCAGATCTACTTGGCTATATCTGTGGATAGTGTACAGTATGTGCATTTCTCCAATTTACATACAGGCAAACTCCCAGCCAAACCTCCCCCAGCAGCTTTCCCAAGGACCACAATGTCTTATGGGAGGCAGGGAGAGGAGAGAGATTTGTCTTAGCCCTTCACCTGAGTTTTTGAACAGACAGGCAAGTTGCCTGCTGATCTCAGGCAGATGTTTAAGTCTTTATCAACACAGAAAGCTCTGGCCAGGCTACTTTGCTCTAGACTCAGAAACATCTGGCCAACTCAAGCCTCACGGGGCTGGAGGAACTGTGCATGTCTTTTGAGACCTACTCCCACTGTCTGTTCCTTTGCTCGCCTCGCTCTGTTGCACATAGACAGACAGTCTGGTCAGGATATGCAATCGCATCTCCTCTGCAAATAAGACCTTCTGCGTACCTCAAGCCTATCTGCTGGGTGCCTGCTCCTGACTGATCCAGAAACAGTTTGGCCTTCTGGCAACTTCCTCATCTATGACCTTTGTGTACTCGGGTGCAGGAGAAAGGTGAGGGATGGAGGGAGGTCTGGGGAGATGGCCAAATGGGGAAGAAGAAGGAAGAGTAGTGATTACAATGCCCAAATGGGTTAGATTTTTCGATTTTTGTTTTCCTAAAAAAATATAGATTATATATCATGAAGAAAGGGAGTATACATTCCTCATTCCTTCTGGTATGGCACCAGAAATTCCCAGGTGAAAATGGATAATGTCAAAACCAAAAAGAAAGGGTTAGGGGGTATGGAGTAGGAGGTGTGTGTATGTGGGGGTGGGGGGGACCGGGAAGATAGCTCCAAATCAATTCCATAATCAACATAGGCTTTTCTTTAAGTGTTCCAAGTGCTAAATTTGCAAGAAAACAGGCACTAATTTCACTGTCATCATCTGGGAAGAGTTAGTGTCCAAGGGATGCTCAGCGGGAAGGGAGAGAGGTGAGACAGGGCAGGTTCTGGGCTCAGGGGTCTGTGGCATTGATGATGCTCTTGTCCGGGGGGGCCCATCCTCGGTACCAGCTGCAGTAACCACCCTTCTGCCGGATGCAGGCATAGTGTTTGGACTGGTAGCCAGGGTAACCGAAATTGGAGAGCATGTCGGTCCAGAGACACTCGTTCTTGGAGGTTACAAAGCAAGGCAGGTAATAGCAGGACTTGATCTGCAAAAGATCATAAGCAATAGTTGGTGGCTGCTGCCATATTGGTCCCATTCTAGGTTCAGATCTTGGGGTGACTTCAGGGGAGTGTCCAACCACAATAAGCCTTCAACCATAATCATAGAAATAACCCTAACTCACGCTGTTGAACATAGGCTCTGCTCTATCCACTGTGTTATCTGCATCATTCCCCTTATCTCTCCTTACATGTTTATTTCCCTATGAAAGGCTCTGTCTGGAAGCTTTAGTAATTCACTCCAGATCACATGTCCAGAAAGTAACAGATTGGATGACAGGAAAGGAGTCTTCAGCTGTGAGTTGGAAATCAGACTCAGCAAGCTATTGAACCTACGGGCTAGTTCCTTAAAATCTCTGAGCTGCTAGTTCCACCTGGGAATAGTAGTAATTAAACCATACGTGATTGTTTAAGGACTGAGACTGAGGAAGAGTGGCCCATGGCAGGGAGGCATACCTGGGCCCTAAACTTGGGTAAAAACCTGGGCCTGGTAGGTGAGACCTCTGTCAGCAGCCTAGGCTAGCCTGTCCACCTGGGGAGAATCAACTGTCCTTGGCAGGACCTGTCAGCATAAGGATCCTACCCTTGCTGTAACCTTGAACTTCCGCTAAGGGAAGGGACACTGAAGAGTCCTTGTGTCCAGCCGCTGCCATCATCAAGATGGAAGATTATGGTACCAAGGCATCCCCTCTTCCCCAGCCTGGAGTAACATTCTTTACTGTGCCTGTACCCCACAGCCAGCACAACAGGATCTGATGGCTCTGGGACAGCCCCTTGCCCTCCACTCCCCCGGGGGCTGGGGGGAGGGGGGAGGGCTCACCTTGCAGTTGCAGCCCAAGTGGTAGCGATAGTTCAGCCCCTTGCGCTGAGAGAGAGTGAGCTGGTCCCACCGCTCCACGAAGTTGCACAGCCCAGTGTACACCTTGCCATCGTAGACACGGCCTGGAGGGGGACAGGAGGCGAGGGGTCACGCATTCTGTCAGAAGTCTAAAAGGGTTTTTTGCTGACCCCGCTGTTGGAGGCCCCTCTCCCCAACACCTTTAGGATGAGGGTGACCTCATTTCCTGGATGATAATGAAGCTTGAAATATTCAGCGATTTGTAGTTGCTAAACTTCTCATTAAGTTCCAAAGCCAGGACTGAGGACCAATTCTTGGCTCTTCTTCTAATGTTTTAGTTTTAGTTTGTTTTTTTTTCTATACTGATTGCCTAAAGGTGGAGAATTCTTAAATACAGACCAAACAAGTTGACCACAGGGTGGAGCAGAACCACCGGTCCCTTTTCATTCAGAGCTCCACTGTATGTCTGTCCTGGTTAAAGCCAATAGCCAGCCTTAGTGTGCCCCTCCCCCCAACTCCCAGTGGATGGCGGCTATCCTTGGGGTCACTGCTAAGCTACCTAGGCTGGCCTATCAGGTGTGGGAGCCCTGTTACCTGGAACTTCAGTGCTAGAGTCAGCTATTACCTGTCAGCAGGTACTGGTACTTGTTGACCTCCAGCTTAAGGCCACAGAGACTTTCGGAGGCTTCTGTGTGGATGTACTGCACATGGGGCATCTTGGTGAAGCCCCGGTACATCTGTGAACAGAAAGAATATCATGAGAGGACGCCCTAAAAGCATCTTGCCATGTAGTTGCTTGGGATCCGGTTCCCCTAATCAGGCAACTAAGCACCCTGGGGCTCTTCGTCTGCCCTCCTCCGCCCCCGAGGAGACCACCTGACCACCTTTCCCACACACAGGCTGGTGACTTGCAGAGAGATGTTCTTTCTGTCCAGCTGGACACACCTCCTCCTCCTCCTCATCCAGCGGCTCCACAGCCCTCGTCCATGCATGCATTTCCCAAACCTCAACGCCTTGGCAGGAGTCCAAAGAAACTACCAGGAAAGACTTCTCCACTTGAGGTCTAAGAGGACAGCCAGAGAGCTGACCTTCCTTTGCATGGCGTCTCTGACACCTGCCATTGACACAGATCCTTACTTATAGCTTCCTCAGGAGAGCCAGAAGAACCCATTTTGCATATGACGGCTCTGATAGAAATTGTATTTGGTGAGCAAAGGGTGAATTCGGACAAGCATCCTCTGTGTGTTTTCCTTCCTGAGCATCTGGTGAAGGAATGAGGTTTCTTCGGCCCAGAGGAAGCACGCAAACATGGATACAACATTCAAAGACGTCAAACTTAATAGTTACACAGTTGAACCATGGGAAATTGCTGATCCTTGGTCCTTTTTATCTCCCACATAATCAGTACAGTGGCTCTCAAGGGAGAGGTAAGGCTAACTCCTGAGGAACATTTGGGGATGATTGAAGTTTGTTTGTTTGCGTGTGTTTTTTGGTTCTCTGTTGGATGGATGAGAGTAGGAATGTTACTAAACATCCTATAATATACAGAACAGCTCTAAAGGCTAGTAGTTCCAAGGCTAGAAGACTGCTGTATATGAGCCCCTAAATTCCCTATAAGGTAAGAACTACAGAGCCCATTTTACAGGTGTGGAATCAGAGCCATAAGGCAGGTTGAGAGACGGCAGGTTGCATGGCCATGCTGTTGGTGAACATCAGTGCAAAGTTTCCAAGTGGAGGAATCCACAGTCCAGGCTTTTAGCTGCCATCCCACATCTTACCCATCTTTCCTGGGGCACCAGAAGCTTAGGACCAAGGGCTCAGTTGTAGCAAATTTCTGTTTATGGCTCTGCGGCTATTTTATCTGCATGTGACAAGAGTCCCTGGTGTGAATGTCCCAGAGGCTGAATCCATTTGGTGGTTTCAGGTCAAGTCTGCCAGTGTCCCACAACCCCTGGCCTGCCGAGGCCACGGTGTTAACTGTGTGAGTGGGGGCGGGTGGAGTGGGACGCCCGCCAGGCATGGTCCAATCCCATTACCCCTCCAATTCTCAGAGCAAGCACACAGGCCCTGGATGGCTGCTGGTCACTGGGCCTGTCCCAAGGGTTTACAGCAGGACAATACCCCTACTTTAGTTCCTGGCATGCGTTATTAATTTGCTTATGGTAATTAATACAAAGCCAGACATCACCTCATTGGTGCCTCATGAATGCCTCCTGTTCAGTCTGATGGGCTGTTTTTATTCCTCTTTAGCAGTGACTGGCTGGCGGGGGTAGGTGGTCCTCAAGGATCTTTACTATGAAGTTGTTTGTTGGCCTTACAACTGGGAGCCTCTGCCTTGGTTAAGGGGTGCGCTGTATAATGGATTCCGATGGTTTTCTGAGCCCTCTTCTCTGGTGCTCACCAAGAGAACAAGGAAACAATGGAGTTGGACTTTGCCAACTGCTGCCCACATTTGGGGTTCAGTGATGCTACAGGGAAGCAGGGCTGTGTCAACGTTTGCACCGGAGAAATGTTTTCTTTATTTTGTGGTACCGTGATTTGAACTCAGGTCCTTGTGCTTACTTTGCAAACATTCTACCACACCTCCAGTCCTTCTGCACAAGATAATACCTTGTGCTAGCTTTCTCTGACCCCCTACCGTAGGGCGGTACCACCATAACGAGCTATCAGCAGAACTTTGGATACATTACCAGTGGTGGAATCTGACCCCCAGTGCTGCATGGTAGGGGTCATTGTGGAAGGCAACACTATGATAATAAAGGTAGATCTGATTCAGGGATGTGTCTTCTCCTTGATCTCATTTATGGATCCTGAAACTATCTTATGTCTGCAATCATAGAGAGCTAGAGAACTGACTTTGAGAAAGTGAGGAGGCCAGGAATAGGCTCATCATGTCCTAAAATCAGGGAATCACAGCTCAGATAAGAAAGGATGCTAAAGTCACTTAAGCTAAGCGATGCCACAGAGGACACTGGTAAATGCAGGTTCTAGAGAACAACAAGAGTTTGAATCTTGTGTCTCAGTCACTTATTAGCTGCTTGGAGAGTTATTGAACCTTGTCTGTTTAGCTTCCTCATCTGCAAAACATGGCCAAGTATGTACTTCACAGAGTGGTTTTTGAAAATCAAATGACTTAGAATGTCACTTAGCATGAGACATCCAGTAAAAATTAGCTTACTGCTAGATGTTAATAGCTCACACCTATAATCCTAGCTATTCAGGAAGCTGAGCTATTATGATCACAATTCTAAACCCGCCCAGATAGACAAATCCAAGAGACTCTTAGCTGGAATTAACCAGCAAAAAGCAGGAGGTCGAGATATGTCTCAAGTGATAGAATGCTGTCCTTGAGCCAAAATGTCAAATGAGACCATTAGGCCCTCATGTCAAGCCTCAAAACTAGCACTTAGAAAAAAAATTAACTTAAAACCAACTATACCAAAGTTCAGAAGAAGACGAGCACAGTCTAGTGTCTTTGCCTATCTCATCTTTCGGCAGAAATAGTGTTAAACCAATTCAGAACCGCAGACAGAAGCAGCTGCACTCTTGGTAGTATCCAAATCAAGTGCCAAGAAGTCCGCGTCCCTTGCGGGGGGAAGGGACAGCTCATGTATGAGGTCTCTCAGTCTAATGAAATTGCCTGGCCTTCACTCAACATGGATAGCATGAAGGGCCACCTGGATATCAGATGTTCCTGGCTTGTCTGCCAGAGGTGAGCACTGTGCTGGATGCTGGTTTACATCACAAACACGTTTAAAACCACGACTCACTCTGATTTACAGGCTGAGTGACTGAGGTCTGGAGACACGTGGTACCTCATTGGGATGCCATATGCACAGTGCTGCCCTAAGGGTGACTGTCTAGCAGAGAGAGCCTGTGAAAACGCAGTCAGTCCTTGCAGAGGGTCAGATAGGCGTCTTGAACTGTGACTCTCAAGCACTAAGCAAAGGAGGCTGGTCCCTGAGGGCTGAGGTCAGAGAGGCTTCAGCTGGAGCCTCTCCGACACACACCCCGCTGTTGTTGCTTTTGCTTCTTTGGAGCCAAGGGGACAGGCGTTCCGACTGCCCAGCACATGCACGTCCTGCTCACAGTCAGGACATGCAAAGCACATGACCAGCCCATGTCCCCTGTGACCCTCCTGGGACCAGTTAGGACATAATGTCCCCCATACACGCTGTCCCCTGCGGTCTGCCTGAGAGCATGTCTCTTCACAAACAACAGCTCTTGGCAAAGTGGACTGCTTTCCCATAGTCCTGATAGGAGATAAGGCCTCCGCAGAATGACTTATGGCCAGTTCTGGAAACTTCCACCTTTCCAACTCACTAATCTCCAAGTGAGGGGTCACAGTCAGCTCCTGCAGCATTCTAGCAGCCCCAGTCTCCTCAGCCACACCTCCACGGGTCTCTCCAGTACCGAGGGCATGCCTAAACAAAGGATGCGAGGTTGTGTGGTTGACAGACCAGTCTGCTGGCCTATTATCAGAGATTGGCCAGGCTAGGATCCCACGTTCAGTCCTGCTGAAAGGGGGCCCTGCCTTTCCCCTATCTGATGGCCCTGACCTGGTATAGACCAATCCACAAAAACAAGTCTCCCTGGGGACCTGTGCCAACCTCACCCCGGTGGCACATTAAGAGCTACCAGCTAGATCACACACCAACAAACCAAAGTTGACCTCTGGTTGTTGCCTGAGAGAGTTAGATACAAAGGGGTGAGGGTACCCCCCCCACCCAAACTAGGTGGGAATGACTTGTGGGCTCTACTGCCCACTGCTCTGTTAGCTCCTTGTCCTCTACTCTGAGGTTAAGGCCCTGTAGCTTTGCTCCTGTTTGCCACTTTCTAGCCCTGCATTCTCGATTGTTACATAACCTTCCGAGTGCCTTATAGTGGTGTTCCCCATTAAGGAGACTTGCACTAGTTGCTGTGAGGCTGATCTGTGCAAAGGCTTACCCGTCTGTCTGGCACAGAGCAAATGCTCAATGCACGTTATTTGCTCCTAGTTCTATATTGAGACAAGTGTTACCTTTCTATTCCCAGTTCATAGCCCAGTGCTACGCATAGAGAAAGCGGGAGGGGGATGGAGGTAGACGGAGGAGGGCCTCTGACTTGTGTCTCTGGATAGGAAGGTACCAACCAGCCAGGCGCCAGTGGCTCATGCCTGTAATCCTAGCTACTCAGGAGGCTGAGATCTGAGGATCACAGTTCAAAGCCAGCCCAAGCAGGAAAGTCCGTGAGACTCTTATCTCCAATAAACCACTAGAAAACCAGAAGTGGTGCTGTGGCTCAAGCGGTAGAGTGCTCGCCTTGAGCTGAAGAGCTCAGGGACAGCGCCCAGGCCCAGAGTTCAAGCCCCATGACCGACCAAAAAAAAAAAGAAAGGTACCAACCAGTTTTGAAGGTCAGAACATCAGGGCAGCAGAAGAGTCAGGGTTCATAAAAGACATTAGATATGGTGAATGAGTAAAACAAGATGGCAGGCAGATCTGGGGGAGTCATGTAAAGAATAAACAGTATTGGGAAGGGACCCCCCTACCTCAACTTGGGAACAAATCTGCCTTTAATTAAGTGTATGATTCTGAGCAGATCATTATTCCCTTTGAGCCTCTAAGCAAGTAAAACAAAGAGTTTTACATCTGATGTCCAGCATGCTGATACCACGAACCTAGACCACAGAGGACGAATGGAGAACCTGAGCCTGTCAGACTGCAGCTGGTGTTGTCCTAGGCTAAGGGAGGAACATATGGTACCTGTCCTCTAAACAAGGCCAACCACTGCAGTGACAGTAGCCGGGGGTAACAGGACACTGCCCACAGGAAGGGCCACTACCCCTCCCTTCTCCCCCCCCCCCCCAGGCCCCAAGGTGGAGGGAAGCTAAGCTGGCTTAGTAGGAATTCCTGCCTCCCAGCTGTTCCTCCCAGCTCCCTGCTGGCCACCAAGCCTCCAAGAGTGAGGACTGTGGCACAGCAGGCCGGCGGGCGGGCCGGCGGGGCTGGCTGTGTTTTCACAGCCTCTGCTTTGGTCTAATGCTCTAGCATTCCTTCCCCTCCGCCAGAGGTTGCAAAGTGGGTTGGGGGGGGAAGGGTTGTTATTGCTCTTGTTGGTCCTCCGCCTCCGCCCACTCTCCTCTCCCCAGGGCTGTCTGAAGACCTAAGCTGGTCTCATGATCATACTCAGGCAGCCAAGGGCAACTAGCCAGGGCCGACTCTGGATATTACATAACCAGAAGGCTGTGGATATTTCCAAAATTGAATCCAAAGCAACAGGTTCCACAAAAAAATTAGTCCATCTAACCACAGGCCTCAGGACAGGAAGCAGGCAGGAGCCTGTGGGCTACACACACACACACACACACACACACACACACACACACACACACACACACACACACACACACACACACACACACACACACACACACACACACACACACACACACACACACACACACACACACACACACACACACACACCCTGGGTGTTAAAGCTTGTCTCCTTTGGGGACAGGCGTACACACACACACACACACACCCCTGGGTGTTAAAGCTTGTCTCCTTTGGGGACAGGCGTGTGGGACTCATTCTTATCCTGCATTAGATGGGCAATCAAATCCCTGTGGCTTGCCAGTCCTGCCTTGAGGAATGGGGTGCAAATGTAAGCAATAAGCAGCAGGGCTGGCTGTTCCCAGGAATCCAGCACTTGCCATCTTCTTCTTCTTCTGATTTGTCTGCACATGTGACTCTTCTTGCTCCATCAGACTTAGTGCTAAGGTGGAGACTGGCTTCCCTAGGGGGTCCTCTGCTCCGGAACCAGAGCCTACATCTAGGGAAACACTTACAAAGGTGGGGGTGGATGGGTGGCTAAGCAAATGGAGGTGAAGCCCCAGACTTCCAGGCCGAGGCGAACATAAGTAGATCATCCCAACTGCCACCACCATTTCTGCCAGCCATTTCTGGAGCCTAGGAAAAGGCCTAGGTTAACAAGCTGCTACATCACAGTAGAACTGGGACCTGGACACAGGTTCTCTGGATTTCAAACCTGATGCTTTTTCTTAAGACCTTTTTCTTCCGCTGGATTTAATGAATATGGTTTGTAGCTAGGGTGCAGGAAGACAGAGCTGGGAAGCACGGTGAAAGGTAAGGAAATGAGGTTCCTCTGCTCAGCACAGGTTTGGTGTGACGATCTGAGTGCTGATCACCTACCATGTAGCATCAGCAACTACACTGGGATTCTGTCAATTGCAGAAAGCAGAGCCACAGCCAAAAAAGAGCAATGACTTGGCCAAGGGTTACTGACTGGGTAACAAAGCTCTCTGATGTCTGGTTCCAGAGTTCAGAACCAGTGCTGGCTCTGGGTCAAGTAGCCACGACCTCTTGACTGCTGCCTCAGTAGCTCTCAGGGGCTGGCTATGATTCCACACCGAGCAAACACACATCCCAGTTCCAACCAATGGGCCTCTCTTGGCCACAACTGTTGGCAAAAATCCCAGGATTCTTCCTGGAGCCAATGATGATGACACTCACCTTCATCTGCTTGATGGTGTAGACCAGTGTGCCAAAGGGCCCTTCCTTCACCAGCTTCTTCCCCACCACCTTGGCCCGGATCACTGCAGAGAAAACAGGAGACAGGGTTCTTAGAAGGCTGCAAAGGGCCTGAACCATATCAAGAGTGGCACCTCTCAGGGTGGGCTGCCTGGCCTGGATGGAGCCCTTCTGTACCCACCAGCCTATCTTGAGCCCTTTACACATGTAAATTCCCCCATCCTGACTCATCCACAGGGCTGTCATGTACTCCAGCTCTCTCAGTGCCCCCACCAGTATTCTGATAGACCCGAGATTACAGGAGATACAACAGGACCAAGCTCAATGGAACATGAGAGAACTTGGGAGCCACGATGGGCAGCTCCAATCTAGAATTCAAAGCAAAGAAGTAACTTTGTTTCTTGCCTCCCTTTCTTCTTCTATAAAACTTAGGTGATGATGCATGTCACACCTGATCTTGTCTTTAGATATAGTTTTCATTAGATAAATGTTACTCAAGTCATCATCACCGAAAAAAAATGAAAGAGCCCATCAGGAAGGATTTGGCTGATAATTTCAAGTGCTAAATGTGCACTCCTACTACGTGCAATCATCATTTCAGTCATCTTCTCTCAGCTGCCTTACAGGGATAGCATGTGCAGCTACTTCCTATAAGGAAACAGACCAGCTGAAGGCACTTCCCTGCTCTATGAAGATGGGTTGACTGAGATGGTAAATCTATGTCTTCTTTTTCTATGCTATGTAAAAGAAGAAACACCTCACGGCAGTCTTTGAGGACCTTTGAACCGAGCACACGGAAGGGTCTTAGAGATGGAAACCAGAAATTGCACAGTAATATTTGCTGGCTTAGTCAAAGAAAAGTTCCCCCAAAACAAGAATTAGCCATGAAAGGCAACTGGCTGGGGGCCGGGGCTGAGGGGGTAGGGGGAGTGACTATCGGAAGGCGAGGAACACAGGGACCGTGTCTCTGTCAAAGCCTTTGGAGGCTCCTACACCAGTGCCTTGACAGGAATGAAGAGGGTTTTGCGTTAAAAATGGAACACTGCTGGCTCTCTTAACTCATGCAGGATAGCAAACACACCTTCATTCCAAGCCACTTTTTTTTTTAAACTGATACTCAAAAAATGCTTGCTCAATAGACACACACACACACACACACACACACACACACACACACACACACTCATTCTGGTAGCTCCATTATCCTTCCCCATTGCTGTTGTCCTATACTGTTTCCAAAACCTTTGACTCTTAGCGCCTTAAAGCTTTACTACTAAGAGCCAGTCCCCAGACCCTGATCCCTCTGGTCCTGGATTGCTCCCTGCACAAGCCTGGATCCCACTCTTCCACTCAGACAGGAAGTCAGGATTCAGATGACATCAATGGACCCTCTGGCCCTGGCTTGCCAGGGATGGCAAACCAGAGTCCACTGGCAAAGACAGCCACTTAGGTTGAGGCAGCTCAGATTAGGAGGGGGCAAGTGGTTGTTTCCAAGTCTGCTGTAAAAGAAAGAAAAGGAGAGTTTGCCAGGTCCCAGGCCCGCTCCCGAGGTTGTGCCTCCACCTATGCGTCTTACTTTCCCAGTAGCATGCTCAGCAGCAAGCCACCCTTGCAGAGGCTCATGGGAACCACTACACCTACCCTGCCAGCAGGCTGTAACCACTGAGCGGTTGGGCAGGAAGCAGATCTGCCGGGATTTCACGATTGATTCCTTCTGAATGGATCTGACCTCAACTTCTGATTCTTTACGAACTCAGGAAGGAAACTGGGAAGTCAAGCTCTGACCAAAGGGAAAGAGGTAAAAGGGATTCCTTTAAATAGCGGCCATCTACCCCTTTCTTTCCTGCCTGGAAAATGGCTTAACTTGATTTAGACATCACATGTCTTCAAGCCTCATAAAGCTGGGTGCTTCTGGAAGCTTCTACACATAGTGCCAGCCAATTCTTTTCTTGCTCTGTAATAGCCTGAGCTTGTAACCTCTTTATCTGAGGGTTTAGTGAAAATGGAGCAGCTTCTATAATCAGGAAGCTACAACACAGGGCTCTTAGTACCTCAATCGCTCTGGTTTTCTTGGCCCAATGCCTCCATGTGGCTCACGTGTAGTAGACTTACTATGAGTGGAATAGCAACGCAAAAAGCCTCAGCCCAGGAACCTGACTGCCTGGATTCAAATCCTAGCACTGATGCTATGTGACTCTAGGGAAGTTACCAAACCTCTCTGAGTTGAGTATTTGTCTATCCTGGACTACGACGATGTACTAAGGCATAGGAGTTCTTTCAGACTGAGACAAAAGGCAAGCTCATCAAAAATATTCTCATCTCACAAAATTACAGGGAGAGGCAGGGAAACAGGAAATAACATGGTCAGAACACATATACGAGGTGTTTTCTTCTCCATCATGCTCATCACCCACACCACCCACAGCCCAAGAGATTCCTCACAGGACCTGCCAAACACTAGTGTTGATTCCCCAGGAAGACCAGGGCAGACACAGCCCAGAATGAAGGCCGCACAGAAACAGAACTTCACAAAACCTGAACTAAAATTAAATAGCATTCAGCTCTCCCAAATAAGATCCTCAGAGTCCCTCCAAGTGCAATCACTTGCCAACCCCAGATCTGCCTATTTGGCTTGGGAATTAATAAGTCTATATTTTGCTTTGGTTTGTCCTCTGTAACTCAGATACTGGGAGTTTTGTGCTTTCCTGCTTGGCAGTGAAGAGTCCCCTCAGGGCATTCACTGATTGAAGGGGCTACTGGGGGAGGGGGGAGGCCGGAAGGAGAGAGGTCATGGTCTCTAATACCAACAGAAGACAGTTTCTAAACCTGGGACTGGCAGCACATCCAGCCTCTCCCGCCACCTTGAAGTGGCAACTAGAAGCCAGCTTTTCAGAAGGGCTACTGGACACCAGATCTCTTTTTTTTTTTTTTCCTGTTCATGCTGCTGAGTGGCCCTTGCTGTCTACCCAGTGGTCTCTACCAGTTAACATGGGTGTGAGCTGGGTTGGAGTTTGGAACATTGGACTCCATGTTTCTGGGGATGACTGCAACAAATAGAAGTCCCATTTCCTGCTTCCATAGCTTTCAGTCTAGCAGGAAGACAAGGATTAAGTAGTTCATGGCCAGAAGACAGCCTGCCAAGGGACACAAGCACTGGCAGAGATTAGAAGGAGGCTCGGCCTGAATCTCTCGTGTCATCTCTTCGTTCTTAGGATGAGAAGCTGGGCTTCTGAGGGGGGTTATGGAGATCAAAAGGAACAAGGGAGACATTAATTCAAGAATAAATAGCATTTGAACTTAAAAGTGTCTGAGAAGAAAGTGATGAAGAAAGCTATGGCTATAGCTTGGTGATAGAACACTTGCCCAGAATGCCCCCAGGCCCCTAGATTTGCTACCCAACACCCCAGAAAAGAATAGGATATGTGAGTGTGTGTGAGTGTGTGTGTGTGTGTGAGTGTGTGTGTGATTGGCCTATGGATCTATAAACATATACGTGGTTCTCTTAAGACTTGGGGATCCAAGTATAAAAGTATTTCTATGAAAATCTTTCCTTAAGTATTTTTCAAGGGGAAGATTTGTAGAAACTTGCAAAACAAAATGAAATAAGCAATACAACTCTTCCCAATGTATAACTTTATGTGGTCTTTTCCCATCTCTATCCCCACCACCATTCTCCACTAGAGAGAACCACAGCGACATAAGCTTAAAATAAACCAATTCTGCCGGGTGCCAGTGGCTCACGCCTGTAATCCTAGCTACTCAGAAGGCTGAGATCTGAGAATCGCGTTTTAAAGCCAGCCCTGGCAGGAAAGTCTGTGAGACTCTTCTCTCTAATAAACCACCAGAAAACCAGAAGTGGTGCTGTGGCTCACGTGGTAGAGCATTAGCAAGCCTTGAGCTGAAGAGCTCAGGGACGGCGCCCAGGCCCAGAGTTCAAGCTCCACAACTGACAAAATAAATGTAGAAATAAAAATGAACCAATTCTGATGGCAAACAGCTTTCTGGTGTGTCATGAGGAATGGTACATCTGCTGTTCATCAGCATATTCCAAGGGGTGACAAAACACCCTGGAGCTGGCCCCTGCCTCTCTCCCCCTCCTCTCATCCCCCATCCACAGTCAAACCCAGACCTAATGGTCCAACTCGACTACTAGCAGGCTAGAGGGCTGAGAAACCAGGTTGCCAGGCTTCCTGGTGTGGGAAACCAGGATCCCTTAGCTGAGTTAATGTATATCAACCACAGACTCCAGTTGTGCCCATCTTAGCATACTGTCAAGAGCAGTTCACACCCACCCATCACATGGGAACCAAGCTTGTAGCCTTAAAACAAAGAAACTCCAAGGTGGGCAAGACTCTGCACTATTTTACTTGTCCAATGAAGGCAGGCTGACCTGCTCCTCCAGCTGTCCACCCACCGATGACCCTTAGTTCCTTGCATTTCTCTGCATTGTGCCTGCAAGTTCGGAGAGGTAAGGCAACCAGAACACACTAGTAACCAACACCTGCTATTTGCTGGGCACGCCCTGAGTGCTGTTATCCTAGTTTCCTCTTGCAGTGATGCTGTAAGTCAGTGATCCTGCCCTCTGCTGTTACCCAGTAACTGCTGGGACCAGTTACTCTGGGGGAAGAGGAGGGTTTGTCTAAGTGGGGAAAATCTTAGTGGGTACCTCAGTCAAGGAGAGCAGCTTAACATCTTTGTACAAGACTGCCTTTAAATCTTTACCTAAGACTTAGAATCTTTACATAAGTTTTGCAGATGGCAACACAGATGATATTCAATGGTCCCCATCCTTCCATCAGCCCTGCAGAAACCAGAGAGGGGGTACAGAGAGGACCCCATCATTTCCCTACACCCCTTAATGACCACTTTTACTGTGAGCACCTCTCTCTTTTTCATTAATAAGAATAATCACCATTGGTATATAACAGTGAGTCATTTGTTTAGAATGATGTCGCCCGACAACCTAGCACAGCTTTCATGGAAGGAAAAACAAAAATCCCTTAGAACCCACAAAAACATCCCTAATGGTTTCTCCCCACAAGAGGAGCCGAGGCTAAAGACATTG